TTGCCTGTCAAAAAAGGGGATATACAATTTTGTTTTGTATACCCTCATGCATAGAATGGACCGTGTTTAAAAATTTTAAGAAAAGTAGTAAAAAAATATCAGATGAGCTCGAGATTTTTATGTTACCTAAATTTTTAAATATTTTTTTTTTTTTTTAATTAATTTAATTATTTTTTTTTTAAGTTAAATTTTCCGAAATTTAAACAATATTTTGATTTAAAATAAATATATTTCCATGTTTCTTGTCAATTTTGTCCAAGCAGGGCCATCTATATGTGAAATATTTATTTGGAAGTACATTTAAAAATGTAAAGCCGCCTAATGGTTGATGCAGTGTAAAATCGGCCCCAGTTCATTGCTATCATACAGAGGCATCTATAGATTAAACAAATGGATGTGGGATATTTACATTTCATATCAAAGAAATGAACTGGTAGACGTTTTATAGATTCAATAACCAGATGACGATGTTTTCACATCGGTTCTGTTCCAGTTCTCTTTTCATAGTAGAACTAGTAAAAGGGAAAACTGTCAAAATCGCTGTCAGAGCTCAAAAGCATACCAAATGTTCTGGAAGGGAAAACTAGTAAAAATGACAAAATTAAAGGATAATACTTCATAATCAACACAACAGCCAATCAGAAGTAGGCATTCCTGTTTATCATTTTTACTCGGCCAAATTTCTCGAGTAAAAAGTTTACAAAGAGAAAGCCCTTTTGGTTTTGTGCTCTCTTAAATTTGATTCCAGTTTTGTGGGTTCAGGAACGGTTTCCGAGTAAAAACATGTAAAATTAGTAGATTCTTTTGGGTTTTGGAACGGAACTGCTGATATGTTTTCCGAATATTCCCAATATTCAGTACAGCCCTTCTAACCGTGGGTTGTGTTGTAATGTTCGGCTTGTGGCCTATAGATCGAAAAAAGACCACAAATTAAGTTTTCGGTGCACGTAACTTTTTTTGTGATCATCACCTAAAATTATAGGTGTTGTCCTTGACCATAACTGGAGCCTCTGAGAAAATTTTAAAGCGATCAGCGCTATATTTCTGCCCTCTAATATATGAATACGTAAGCACCTATAAATATTTAAGTTTAAATCCGGCTCTATGTCCGTCAGGAGTAAATATATACGCCATAGAATACATTTTTTTTTTTTTTTAAATTTTTACACAAAAGTCAGGGTCCATTTGATCCGCTAAATAATGACCGATCTTTAACAAAACAGACATGCTTATTCTTTGGCCCCATCCTCTTCTCCATGTTAAATTTCTCGATGTTCGGACCATAATTGCGGTCTCTGGAGCGACCAGAAAAAAAATACAAAAATTAAGTATTTGATCCATTTCATCCCCTAAATATTATCCGACCTTTACCAAAAACAATAGGGGTCTTCATTGGCCAGCGCTATATTTCTGCCCTCTAATATATGAATACGTAAGCACCTATAAATATTTAAGTGCAATTAAGTCAGGGTCCATTTGATCCGCTAAATAATGACCGATCTTTATCAAAACAGACATGCTTATTCTTTGGCCCCATCCCCTTCTCCATGTTAAATTTCTCGATGTTCGGACCATAATTGCGGTCTCTGGAGCGCCAAGAAAAAATACAAAAATTAAGTATTTATTTCGTTTTAACATACCTGCACTATACAATTTAAGTATTGTTTGTGAAGGTAAGTCAAAAATACTGTATAATATTATTGAGCACACATCTTCGTACTTCTTTATGGCCACCCTTTGAATCTACCGCACATTGTACATGTTTTTCATCGATTCCGTTAACTTTTGCAAGTCATAATTCTCGAAATGTTGTGCCACTTATCCAATAATGCAGTTTTCAATGCTTTTATATTTTTTGGTTGCTGTAAATCCACATTTTTTCAACTAAACCCACAAATTTTCTATAGGGTTACAGTCGCCAGCCCAAAGGCGTATTCAAAACTATGCCGCAGTTATAAAAAAGCCACAATCACCTATATGTGCCTTCTGCTTACGATCACTATGTTGCAAAAATTACCCAATTATTAATATTGTTTAATTTTTTAAGGCTCTTGAGAAGTATGTGCATTAATTAATAAGGATTTTTAGTGTATAGACCTTTATTGACCACAAGTCCCATCAAAATATATTTATGTCTGTTGATAGCATGCTTATTTATATGCAATTATATAAAGATTTGTCCATGATAAAATGTGTACATAAAAACTTTATAAAAATTAAATTTTTAATTTGTTAAAAAATCTACCAATCGACATGTACACCATTTTATGAAATTTATTTTTCATATTATTTGAAATATACAGATGGGTTACAAATTAGAAAGGATTGTCATTTCTTAAATGAGACTACATTCCATAATTATGCCATAGTTTTTTAATATAGTCTGTCGTATTATTTCGTGACCAACTTTAACACCACACTTTTCTTTGAGCTTCCTCACAAGCGACCTTGGTGAAATTTGAGGGTTTTGCCTCTTCGCTTCAACTCCAATCTTCGTTTTATTTTTTATTTTAACAAAACTTATTACACTTCATTCTAGAGTCAATTCAATAAGCTTTGCCAAATTTCGTCTCAATCCGAAAAAAAACATTGGGAACTATATTTAAATATGAATCGATTGCGACGTTATAAGCTCAATTTAGACAGAAATTTCATCTCAATCGGACGAATACTGGAACTTTGGTCTTTATGGAAGCTATATCTAAATCAATGAGATTGATCCTGGGACCAACATTAAAGAATTTGCTACAATGACACAATTATTCAAGGTAGGATATATTGAAATGAGTAACACAAAAGCAACTCTGCAGGTAGTGGCTTCTTCTGTCAAATATAAAATAAAACCAGTAAGGAAAGTAGAAAAGTCGGACGGGGCCGACTATATAATACCCTTCACCACTTTGGGTATATTCAACAGATGAATCCTAACAGACGCATTTTAAAAGTACCATCAAAATGAAATTGGATCCATAAACATGTCATTCTGCAACCTATACTATTTTTTTCATTTGGTCAGATGTAGAAGCTACATCTAAATCTGAACCGATTTCAACGATTTCAGGAAATTTAACACTCATCATTCTAGACCTAATTCATTACGCTGCGCCAAATTTCGTGCAAACCGAAAGATATTAAGATACTTTGGTATACCATTCATCTTAAATTGGACGAAAATATATATGGGAGCTATATCTAAATCTGAACCGATTTTCACGAAACTTAGCACACATGATTAATTGAATACGATATACTAAATTTCATGCATATCGAAAGATATATAGGGACTTTGGGGGACAATTTACATTAAATCGCACGAAAATATATATGGGAGCTATATCTAAATCTGAACCGATTTTCACCAAACTCAGCACACATCATTCTGCACCTAATACAGAACGCTCTTCCAAATTTCGTGCAAATCGAAAGATATATAGGGACTTTGGGGCACCATTTACATGAAATCGGACGAAACTATATATGGGAGCTAGATCTAAATCTGGACCGATTTTCTCGAAACTTGGCAGACATCACTCTAGGCTTAATTCAATACGTTATGCCAAATTTCGTGCAAATCGAAAGATATATAAAGACATTGTGGCACCATTTACATGAAATCGGACGAAACTGTATATGGGAGCTATATCTAAATCTGGACCGATTTTTACGAAACTTGGCAGACATCATTCTGAACCTAAATGATTAGGCTGTACCAAACTTCGTGCAAATCGAAAGATATATAGGGACCGTTTACATATCTAAATCTGAACCGATTTTTTCCAATTTCAATAGGGTTCGTCCTTGGGCCGAATAAGTGACCTATGCCAAATTTCATCCAATTCGGATCATAAATGCGACCTGTACATTGTTTACAATTTAACATGGACAGACAGACGGACGGACATGCATAAATCGACTTAGAAAGTGATTCTATGCATATTCTCAAAAGGAACCATGTGACTATCTCGTTGCCTTTTGTTTGTTACAAACATATGCACAAAGACATAATACCCTGTACCACAGTGTGGTGAAGGGTATAAATCAGTGGTGGCCATTACAAAATGGAGCATAAGTGTGGGTGAGCGTAACTGAGAAGTCATCATTAAAAACGACTGACGAAAAGAGGAAAAAGAGAATTCGTGTTTAACCATCGACACTCAGTTACGGTAGCGTATATGGCCGAGCATGCCTGGTATAAATACCCCACGGGATGTTTTTTTTCAAGACATTACTGAATACCTAAAATATGTATGAAAGGTTTCAATTTATTCCCAAAATAGTATTTGTTTCATCCATAACAGACTTATTTATTTCAGGCGAAATATATTTAGTATTCAAAAGTCTGCTTTTCCACAGGCAGATTTTTATTTGGCAAATTTTTTGTTTTCTCTTTTGAAATTTTCGCTTTCTTTTCCATTAGCAAAATTTTCTTTGCCAAATTTGCGAATCAAAATACAAAAGAAAGAAAATAAAAGTCAAAAGTGTTTGCATTTTAAAGATTTTTTTAATATTTTATTTATTTTTTATATATTTTATTATATAAATTGCAAAAATTAAAAATTAAATTTCACTTGACCAAATTAAAGCAACAGGTTTGTAAACAAAAGCCGGCTGTGTCATGGTGTTGTCATGGTGCTTTATTATTGGCATCACTTTTACATTGTCATCGATTACACAGTCATTTCGATAACATCGATAACCACATATGTCAAATGTCATTCAGATGCCGCTCATTTTCAAAATAACGTTGATGGTGGCGGAGTTTTTGTTTAGTTTGTCTTGTTTGATCGTGACAGAAGAAGAATTCGCTTATTGAGTGTGTGCGTGAAATATTTACTTCTTTTGTGTTTTTAATGTTTTCTGCGAAAAACATTTGTAAATTTATCAACATTTTCAGTGTTGTCTTGTGAAGAGTGTGCATAATAAATGTGAACGAAACATACGTCAAAGAAGACAGTGTCAAAGGAAAAAAAATTAACCTAAAAAACAACATATTTAAACAAAGCCAGACATGTCTGGAAAAAATTCCATACAAGTGGGCATTAAAGTGCGACCACTGCTAAAAAAGGAAAAGGATCAACAGCCGCTGTGGCGGGTAGTGAATAATTCGATTCAACAAGTGGACTCACAAAGTGATCCATATTATTTTGGTAAGTGAGAAAGAAGAAAAAAAAAACAGGACAAAGGGGAATAAATATAGGGAGGATTCGTTAGGCGGTTGCTGGTTGATCTGTCTGTACATGGAATGAATATTTTATCCCACCTCATGCTTTTGGACTTTCTGTGGTGTCTTTAATACAGTTGTTGTTGCGGTCATGTATTTTAAAAATAACTTCCTGAAGATTTTGATATAAAAAATTCAATTTATTTTGATTTTTTTTCGTGTGTGCAGCATAATATGAACTTTCATGGCACACATAACGGTTCTTGATTCTTAGTCAGACATGTTTGTGCAAGACAACAGCGCCTGCTGCAACAAAAAATGCATTTATCTGCCACTATGACACAGACGCTGCACCAGCAACAACAACATAGCTTCCTAGATGAACTAGGAGTGCTTTTGGTTGTTTTTGTGTGTGTGTGTTTATGTTGACAAAAATAGGAACGACTACAACATCGTCCACTATGTTTTCTCCAAATTTTCAAAATATCTATTTTTAGCAAATTTCTTTTTTGGTGTCTTGTATTTTATTTTAATTAATGGTGATGATTATTATTTGTCTAATCCCACAAATGACCCACACCACCACAGCTGATATGGATTTATTGTTTTTAAGGTCCTCTGCCATGGTATATGTCATTCAGTTTGAAACTCATCGAAATATCCCTTTTGAAACATATAAATTGTATATTTTCTGGATGAAGGTAAAAATCTAATACGATTTACCACCATTGTTCGTCCATTTTTTTGTAATCACGCCAGTCCCGGAATTTTGAGGACTATATCGGAATTAGTTGAAATTTTGGACCAAGTCTAGTTTAGGGCCCCCTCGCGGATTGTTTTAAAATTATTACCACATGTAGTCCTTAGGGCCCTGATTATGACATATTTTTTTCTTGCAGAAATCGGTATTTCCGGAGATATTGGCCTCCCAACATTTCTCATAAATTTTTCAAATCCACTAGGGCAATATGGTTATCATTTTAAAGCATTTGAAGCTCTGATTACATAAATATAATATTAATATCAAATAAGTCCATACTTTTTGAGATTAGGTAAAATGGTATTTTTTCACCAATAGTCGGCACAAGTTTCCAATTGTCGGCATGTCGTATTTTGGGCAATTTTTTCCAGCTCAATCGACATAATTTCGTATTTTGAGTACTCATTTAATAGAAAAATCTTTCGAAAAAAATGATCAATTTTGGTCCAAGTTTTAAGGTAGCCCCTATATAAAGGCAAGTTTGACTTAACTCTAGTTTAGTAAAAACGATCCGATTTTTCTGATTTTTTTCAGAGGTAGGTATTTTTACCTTCATTATCGGAAAATCGATTTTTTTGAATGACGTACCCGGCTACCCGGTTCTACGGATCCGGTTAATATAAAATGTATCATTTTGAAATACCTTTCCATTGAGTGGTGATATGGTGGGTTTATCTCAAACCGTTTTGGAGATACAGTCAAAAACTTGGGTTTATTTCCCGATTTTTTAAGTAAAACTCATTTAATAGAAAATTCTTTCCAAAAAAATGATCAATTTTGGCTGTATCTGTTGTGGATCAAAAGATATGGCCTTAGAACCCTTAGAACAAGGAAATTCTGCCGCGTAACCGGTGTTGTTGTAAATCCTCGGCCAAAGGCCGGCCACCCACAAAACAATTGTATTTAAAAGGATATTCTGTCGCGTAGCCGGTGTAGGTATCTGTCCGTAGGAGGAAGTCTTAAATCCACAGCCGAAGGCCGGCCACACACAAGACTATTCTATTTTGAAGGAGATTCTGTCGCGTAGCCGGTGTAGTTATCTGCCCATTAGAGTAAGTTTTAAATCCCCAGTCGAAGGCCTGCTACACAAAAACTATTCTATTTAAAAACAGTTTCTGTCGCTTAGCCAGTGTAGGTATATGTCCATAGGTGAAAGTCTTAAAATACTGGCCGATTGCTGGCCACAAAAAAAAACATTCTATTTAAAAGGAGATTCTATCATGTAGAACGGATTTTCTTTGTTTTTATAGGGTTCTAACACTCATATCATTTGATCCACAACAGATAATGCCACATATCGCACCATTTTGGAAATGGCCAACTGTAGTCTATCATTTTAGTCCAGATTGGAGACGGACTTCCGGGTCAAATAACCGGGTAATCGGGTACCTCACCCAAGGAAAAAAGAGATTCCCATAATTAGGGTAAAAATACCTACCTCTGGAAAAAATTTCAGAAAAATCTGATCGTTTTCACTAAACAAGAGTTGTTCCAAATATTGTTTTTAGACCCTATTTTACTTTGGACCAAATCCTTTTCAGACAATTTGGAGTCGATTTATAAATGTCCGTCCGGCTGGTGCGCACGATAACTCTCGAAGAGAGTAACTTAAAATTTCTTTCAAACTCAGTTCAAGTTCGAAGATGGGGATATCGGTCCACTCCTGGTACCTTACCCACCAAATGGTCAAAATTGTATACAAATTATTAACCGAATTTTGCGTAATTATACCTTACACAACTATAGTTTTCAGTGCCGTTAAGAGGTTGTATCGTCGCAAAATATTGATTCTAGACCCACCTTTTAGTATACCGATCATCATATTTCGATTAGCTGAGTCGATCTAGCCAAGTGTTTCCGCTTGTCTGTCCATTATAATTTGTAAACACGAAGAAGACCGCTAAACTTTTATGTTTTACTCTTTCCTTGTCACTCTAGAGGCCATAAAAAATTATCACCTGAACATCGCCCAATTTTACACGGAGAAAGCAAGCAGATCTGTGAACATGCACTTCCCTTTTCATGGCAATTAAGAAGGAGACCTGGTCAACTATTTAAATTTACATGATATCTTTGAGAGTAAATTCTATGTAAAATAACACAAAAGAGCGACTCTCTATTTGTTCAAAACATAAACGAGATTCAAAACATAAGGGTCCGGTTCGAAAATGATCTATATCGATACATATTTAGGCATAGCCCCCTCCCGACTTTCGGCATTTTGAATGCTTAGCGTTATTCCAAATACGTCTACCATATGTAAGCCATGTTGTCCCATCTTAAAATATAGGGGCTATAATTGTGCTTCGCAATTTCAAATATATGTCAAATAAAGATCCCGACGTGCACTTGTTTTTTTATTTTTGTTATTTATTTCTTATAGATCACATATTCGATCAAGATGCCACAAATCAACAGATATTCGATAAAATGGCCAAACATATTGTCCATGCGGCAATGAAAGGTTTTAATGGTACCATATTTGCCTATGGCCAAACTTCATCAGGTAAATTTTGTTTATAGAAGCATTTATTTCTGAAATTTAAAAACTAATGTTCAATTTTTATTAAATTACAGGAAAAACCTATACTATGATGGGTGATGATGACAATCCTGGTGTTATGGTTTTGGCTGCCAAGGATATATTCCGTGAACTTGAGCAACTCTCTGTACATAGACAATTTCTTCTCAGGTAATAAGGAGTCAATTTTTACTTTTATACTCTTATTTTATTTGTTTAGGGCGTATCTAATAAATTTTAAAGGAGCGATTGCAAATCGTTTTTAAAAAGCTAATAACAAATGTCCTTCGGAGAATTGATAATAAGATTATATTTGTTTTTTCCCGAGATCTATATTTCGCAAGCCGATGACCATCTACCCATCTGAACTTAATTAAGATTCTCAAATACTTTTAAGGATATATTTACTGATTAATTTATGTGTATTCTTTTGTATTTCTTTTTCAGAGTTGGTTATATCGAAATCTATAATGAGAAAATATTCGATTTACTAAATAAGAAAAATCAGGATTTAAAAATCCATGAAACCGGTAATGGCTTGATCACAGTTAACTGTGAAGAAAGTATTATAACCTCGGAAGAGGACTTGTTATATCATCTGACTCAGGGTAGCAAGGAACGTACTGTTGGCGAGACCAATATGAACGAAAGATCCAGTAGATCTCATGCCATATTTCGTATTGTAAGTTTTTAATTATTTCAATTCAATATAAATATTTATGTTAATAAATATGTTATATTATAGATTATTGAATCACGAAAAGTGGATCGCAGTGAAGATGATGCCGTCATTCAGAGTGTTCTTAATCTTGTCGATTTGGCTGGTTCAGAGCGGGCCGATCAAACGGGTGCTCGTGGTACCCGCCTCAAGGAGGGAGGTCACATCAACAAAAGTCTTTTGTTTTTAAGTAATGTCATTAAACGCTTGTCGGAAAATGAAGATGATAAATTTATTAGCTATCGTGATTCGAAGCTAACGCGTATATTGCAGGATTCATTGGGTGGTAATGCTTTGACAGCAATTATATGTACCATAAAACCAACAGCAATTGAAGAGACTCAATCGACATTGAGGTGAGCAAATTTAATTATTTCGAAATATAAAAGAAAATAAATTTCAAATTTTTATATATTTCCTCAAAGCTTTGCAATGCGTGCCAAAAGTATTAAAAATAAACCTCAAGTTAATGAAACTGTATCAGATGCCACAATGATGAAACGTTTAGAACGTGAAGTTAAATTGTTGCGTATACGTTTGGCCGAAGAACAAAAGAAAAACGAAAGTCAAATTAAAGTACGCCAGTTGGAACAACGGATACGCAATGAAGATTTGAAAATTATCTCGTGTAATTCATTGCATAGAAATCGTGAAAAACGACGTCGTACCTGGTGTCCTTCATCCAATTTAAATACATCGAATATACCATCGGCATTACCGGTACCAACGGCTTTGCCAACACCATCAGCATTACCGGTACCATCATTTCATAATGGTTCGAATAATGGTGGGGCAATGCCTCCATCACGTCTACAACCACCAAAAGCATTTTATTTTACACCATTAATTACGTGTCGACCTACGGAGCCACCTCCCGCCCCAAAACTGTCGACGGAAGAAATGATTACAGAACTGGATGAGGAATTTGCTCCGGCTGAAATGATAAATTTCGATAGGTTATCGCCGTTATTAACGCCCAAAACGAATATGCCACGATCTAGCATGACCCCCAAGGTTACATCAAATTCAAAATTAGCGTAAGTATTGGAAAAAATTAACTAGCCTTACTGTCTTTATTTGCAAAATTTATTGTTTTTTGGCAACTAAAATGTTACGCACACTGCACGCAATTAAAATTCATATTTATTTTTGTTATTCTTTTCAAATCACTACTAATTTAATGTTCATCCAATATTGCTCTTAATCCTAATTTGCTTCTTGTTAAATTACCTAAAAACATACACATCAACCAACCCACACACACACACAAACACATTAGTTTAAAATCAATTGAACAAGATTTGATGGAATTACAAAGCTTTACTAATTTGGAGGATCGATGTGAGGTTCAACATGAAACGGATTTATCATTGAAACAAATGGTCAACTCATTAACGAATCGCATATCATTACTTGAAAGCGAACGAATCGAATATATACAACTGAAAGATGAAATAACAATTACACGAGAACATTTAACCGAATATGAAACGAAGTAAGTAAATGGAACCATAACATCAAATATTTTACATAGTTAGTTGGAATCGTTCGTATTATGCTTTTTGTTGTAAATGTGTTGTGTGTTGTTTTAATTTTTTGTAAATGTTTTTTTTTTTTCCATTACAAAATATTGTTCGCTTCCGATTGCAGTAAGGTTAACCTTCTTCACTGCGTATCGAAATAAATTAATTTTACCAGGTCAATGAATTCTATGCAAAGGAAACTAATGTTTCTTAACAAAGAAAATTAATAATGGGTTCAGTTAATAATTATCACTGACGGACTGAATAAACAGGTACTAAAGAAAAACATCATTAATCATTTATAGAGAAACACACATGGAATATGGAATTCCATTATTATATTGTTTAGCCGGCAGATTTTGTGCATTATGCAATGCTTTATAGTATTCTCCTAACTTCATTTTTCCAAGAAATGTCTTCCAAAATTTTTGAATAATGTAACAATAACGACTTCTTTTTATTCTCAATTTAAACTAATTTTGGGAATTACTACAAAAAACATTAAATTCAAATTCGTTTCGAATATTGACAAAAATATATGTAATCCATTTTGCAGATACCACAAGGTATCCTCACTTGGCTTAGGCCAATTCCCAATGGAAAGTTGAAAGTTCCAAATGGTTTTTTTATGAATTCTTCCCCAATTCTTACGCCAGAATAATTCAGGTATTTTCTGCAAAAATAACGCAAATCATCTCAACGTTAAAGTTAGAATTCTTTGCGAGGGTTGTAGCGATGAAGTTGTATAGGATCGGCAGATCTGACTGTCCACTACGAATATAGAGGTACCATCGTGAAGTAGTTCATTAAAATACCCTTTTTCGAAACTTTGAGGCGTTCTTCGACGAACGAGCCAATGAATTCTGGCACAACGACCCTAGGTGCAATATGTCAAGATCTATCTGGCCGACTCTGTCAACCAAGAGAACTCACTGTTGAACCTGAGCAAATCTGAAATCAGAGTAATGACAGGAGTCATTACTGGTCATTGCAATATCACGCCTTTGCCAGTAAATGGGACTGTGATGTTACTTATTACTGCAGGCTCTGTGGTGAGGAGCAGGATGAGACGGAGACAATTGATCCTACAGACGACGCAGACTAGTGGATGCTCACTTTCCACCGTCACTAAGCTTATTTCAACTATGGAGCCTGCTTTATTCTACAGCATCATTAAAGTGCTTAAGAAAGTGCAACCTTAGCACGTAATATGTTTTCCGTCCAAATTCTATAGCCATCGAAACTATTCCCACCTTCCTCCTAATACTTCTTGTTATTCTCTTATCCTTTGATATAACAACTTCATCCCATTTGAATTTAATACATTTGAAGAGTGCGCCGATAAAGTTGCCTAACGGTGGTTAAACAGACGCAACAATTTGGATATATTTGTCAACTTCGTTAATACCCACACTTGATTGTCTTAAAAACCGCCTGTCTATGGATTTTTGACACAAATTATTCCCAGAACTAAAACTATTCCCAGGAGGTTTAGTAGTGAAAAAGAGTTTCGGTGCATGTTCGGGTAAATTCCTCAAATAACGGTATCATTTCATTTTCGATATTTGGAAGGTTTTTGTGTCGAATTATCCAAGTTATATGGCTGTATTATAGCATTCCATATTCTTGGAGGATGAAAAGCTCCTCGCAAAACTATAGATCCACTATTGGACATAACTACTGTGTAAAGGTATGGGAATTGCCGAACCTACCAACGTATTTTTATACCCTTAGCCATATGGCTAATGAAATATTGGTTTTAGATCTCTTATTTCTTAGGACCAAATCCGATTCAGACAACTTGTAGTCGACTTATGCATGTACGTCCGGCTGGTGCGCACGATAACTATCCAAGGAAGTACACGACTCCTTCTGATACCTCCCATACAAGTGAACGGACAGGCATAAATCGAATCCAAATTGTCTGAAACTGATTTGGCCAATATTATGCGTAAGGAATATTCGATTTCAAACCAAATTTTGCACAACCTATTATATTTACTAAGCCTAGGTCAAGTCCAAAGTTTGGACCCATTGGTCCACGCCTTCCCCACAAAGGGTCACAATCTACACTAATAAAATAGTAAAGTGATTGACTGACTCATTTAACGATTCATCAACGTCCAGACGAAGTGGCGAACCAGTAGAGCTAGAACTCTTAAATTTTAAATGAGGGTCATTGATGGAGTGTAGAATAGATATAGCAAACTATAAGTATTCGAACTATAAGTATGCGAAAATTACTAAAATGTACAAAATTTGGTACAATTTCGTAGCATGTGAATGGATAGAGCTAAAAACTTGAAATTTGGAATCCGAATAAAGATTGAGAGATTTAAGGAAATAGTTTTGAAAGTGTGTACTCATGTGTTCGAAAAGTACTATGTGGAACTTTTTTGATTTAGGATCACTGTGGAGGTGTAGGGTTGGGGTATGTAGGAAGTTTTGGAAATTGTACTAAATTTAGTACGATTTGATTTGTGGGTGCACCGATAAAGTTGGGTGTAGGTTTATGGTAAGAAGGAGGTTTTAGAGATTCGTACTACTAAATTCGATAAAATTTGAATTGTGAGTGAACCGAGAGTTGGAATTCTGAAACTTGGATTTAGGATCAGTGTGGTGGTAGGATTGGGGTATGTAGGATTGGGGTATGTAGAATTTTGAATTGTGGGCATATGCTAGTTTTCAATATTTATAAATCTAATATCAGGCGAATGGAATGTCCGATTTTAATCAAACTTTTCACAACCTAATTCACCAAGGCTAGATCAAGTCCCCAAAAAGGTCAACATTTTAATATTTAAAAATCGGTTTGTCTCTCGGTTTGCAATAACTTAAAATATTCATTTGAGATCCCATAAATTACATCCATTCATTGATCAGAATAAAACTCTATGTCTATCAACATTATTCCAAGTTTCAAGATAGCCCCCATATAACGTTACCCCTCTTACTCGGAATTTTTGAGATTTAGTCACGTATTAATTTTAAAATTTTGGATTCTCATTAAGTTGAAAATATTCCCTCACAAAGTCACGTTTTGGTATCATCTAACGATTTCCCAAATTTTCTATAATTTGAGGATTTTAGACGCGTAACCATATTGACAGTTCTCAGTGATGATGGTGGAGGATATAAAAAGATCGGACCCCTTGAATTAAAAAATGTTTCTCGTTATTTTCTATCATTATTGCCAAAGTCTTTTAGTATGATCCCAATGGATCATAGGTTTCCAAGTGGAGACCACCATTAAATGGGTCTGAACATTTTAAAGGGGGCTAAGTCATAATAAATTACCTTCCAGGGTGTGTTCTTAAAAAAAACGGGAGAGAAAATTTGAACTTTTGCTACGATATTCTAATATAGTGATTATGGGGGATTATAATAACAATTTGTTTAATATTATTTTCCGTAAGATCTGCTTGTGATAGATTGAATTTATCAATTCATCACAATTCTTTATTGACGCACTACGATGTTACCCACCAATCAACTTCCCTTTTAGATTTTTTTCTTTTGTCTTTCCCCGAAAATGTTTTCTCGAATCAATATATATGTCCTATATCTAAACACGTTCTGTCCATTCGTTCATTACAATCACGTGTGGATGATTACTACGAATTCTTGGATTACGACAGTATCTCTCAGGTTGCATTGTTCGAGAAGATACATTCGTTTGATTTTTCAAATATTTTTCGTTCATCTGATGTTGACACTCAGTTGAATACTTTTATGGCAAGTCTGGAATATGTTCACTCGGCATGTCCTCTAAAAAAAGAATTTTAAGCAAAATGATACCGAATGAATATACAGTTCAGAGGTTATTTATCTGACAAAACTGTAGGGCAAGGAATAAAAAAACGGTTATAAAGAATGATAAGAGACAGACACATGCGATATACCTGTCGAATCATCACAATTTTTTATCGACGCACTACGATGTTACCCACCAATCGACTTCCCTGTTAGATTTTTTTCTTTTGTCTTTCCCCGAAAATGTTGTTTCCTCGAATCAATATATACAGTGGTGGTCACAGAATTAAAACATTTACTGTGGTAAAAATTATTTGATCAGCCCTCGATTCGTTTGAAGTATTTTTGGAAATTTTTTAATTCAGAACACTTCGATATACTGCACTTAAGAGATTTTGTGTGAAAATGGAAAATTATTGCATGCAATTTTTCCATAAATAACGGTTTTTATGAAAATACATCGACATTGAAGTGGCCATATAATTAAAACATTGTGTGATTTTTTACTTTACTGCATTTTTTTGAAAATATTTTCAAAAATGCTCTTTAATTTAGTTCAATTATGTAAACTAAGCACTGATAGAATCATTTACAGATAAAAATATCTGAAAAAATCTGTAAAATCTATCAAAATTGCCAAAAATTTGTACAGTACACCTAACATTCAGAAAACACCCTTATTATAGAAAATAAAGGTCCGAATGCACTAGAAATTGCTAGAATTAGTAAAAAACAATAAGTAATTATCGAAATAAATAAATATTTGAAATAAAAACTGAAAAAATGGGAATTAACTTAAAGGAACGATTCAATCTTTATAGCCTTTACTTAAGAGTGTCGGAATATTTTTGCAGTATGTGAGAAAATATCGATTGATATTGGTATTTATTATATCAAATCGATTGTTCGAGTAGTACAGAATATATTTTATCAAAAAATATATCAGTCACAACAGAACGAACAGAGATCAACGCCTATGTTGACGAGTAAAAGCTTCTGCCACACAGCAGCATGTTTGATGGTTAACTCTTGACCCTTAAAATCTATTGAACATGACAATATTTTTCCAAAATAATATTTTTTGAATAGAATAATGTCCATTTAATCTATTTTAGCCTAAAAGAAAGAAAAATTTTACAGTTTGACAAATATTTAAAGTCTTGTGTTGAGCATCAAAAATGCTGCTGTGTGGCAGAAACTTTTACTCGTCAACATAGGC